TCTTATATTTTTGTCTTTAATGATGCATCTCACAATAATGTAATGAATCCACCACAGCAGAAATAAAGTCTAAAGATTCTATTAATTTCTCTTCTCTTTCCTTTGATTCATATCCTGCCTTTGAAAAAGAGAACAGTATCTGTTCATATAACTTTTGTTACAGTGTAAGCTGATTTGCTATATCCAGCTTACGAAAAGGAAAAGAAAAAGGCCATCAAACCCCTTCAGTTTGTACATCAAAAATCTGCAGACACTTAGAAAGCTCAGGGTGACATTCATTTCATCTGCATACACTCAGATTACTCTGGTTTTAAGATGAAGTTTCATGGGGAGAAAAAGAAATCATACTTCCCAAACCAGGATGCATACTTGGGGATGTGCTTCTTGTGCAGGGTTTTAAAGATAATGGATGCTCCTAATTATGGGTCTATTGAATTCGAGGAACCAGCTAGCCAATTTCACAGGCAGATCATGGGGCTGGCTGCCATCTTTGAGACCCTATCACGGTGGAGCCCCCATGCCCCTGATTGGCTGAGGGCGACCTCCCCCTGCCCCACCCCACTGTGCTGGTCATCTATAACCCAACACATGGAGGGAAAGCAGGTAGGTGGAGGATGGAATATTGAGGCCATCATTATGAGTAGGGACCTACCCAAATCGCGATTGTGCAGATTTCACCGAAATTGTGAAACTGGGTGATCTCCATGAAATCTGCAGGGAGAGGGCTGTCTGTTGTATGGCCTCACCTCTTGCTGCTGATAGACTAAGAGGGCTGTCCATTATGCAGCCCCACCCGTCACTGCTGAGGAGTGGCAAACATCTTGCCTGCTTGCTTTCATACCAGCAGCAACGTTCATGCCAGGCTGCATGGCTGGGAGGACTACTGGCTTCCACTTGGGAGCCAGTACTTTATTTTACTAAGTGTTTTTCCCTCCCCCCACAGATTTTGTGGCAATCATCCAATTTCATGATTTCTTTGAAATCCGTGCAATTGTATTAAGGTAGGTCCCTACTCACTACTCATAATGATGGACTCAGTATTGCACCCCCGCAACCCACCTGCTTTCCCTTTATGGCCAGCACAGAACATTCTTCTGCATTCCATCTGTTGCCTTCAGTCCCCTTTCTTCTTGGTGGTATGACTGAGCACTCCATGGCTGTAGTGGCTGAGCACTCTGAAATACCCAGTATGCTTCCTCTCAGCCTCATTGAACATACATTATCACCAGGACTGACTTATGTAGCCATGTGCAGTAAATATGTGAAATAAAGTATTCATTTTTAGATCTGCATAAGACACGTGGAACACTATAAAACTTGGCTACTGAGTAGGCAACCTGGAAAACATAGTAGGAGCCATCGCCTAGGAAGCCTCAGATATAAGGCACTGAAGCAGGCTACAGTCTTCCCCCTTTCATGGCAAATATGAAAGGCTGGAAATTCTGAGCTATTTTGTATAAATAACATTATAGCAGCTGAGGCCTAGAAGTAGACAAGGACCACCATGGTAGCATGGAGAGGGAAAGGAAAAAAAACTATCATGGAAAAGAATTGTTAATTTGGTCCATGCTTATTTTCAACTATGAACTATAGTTTTATGGGCTTATGATGGAGGTATAGAGTATTTAAAAGAGGAATGAGGCATACGGTGTTTCAGAGAGGCCGTATATAAGAGCATGATGTGGCAAACCATCTCTGGATACCTCTGACTCCCCAACCTGAGTGATCAGAATGGGTTGACTGAGGGTGATCTGAATTCTTCACACCTGTTGTCATGAGACTAGAAATGTGAAGAAATGTTAATAAGTATTTCTGTTCTGTATTTGAGAAAAAATGATGTATTCATATCAGACAATGAAATACTTTCCATTACAGTATGAACTCAAGAAGACATAAAATGACAACTCGTAAAGTTAGACATTTTTAAATCAGCCAGTGTAGATAATTCGAGTACAGAAGTTTAAAACAGCCAGGCTCAAGAGTTCCATGGACTATTACTGCTGTTTTTCAATATCTCTTAGAGCACTTGGGCAGTTTTAGAGAAATGAGAGAAATCTAATGTGCCAGTTTTTGGATAACCCTGCTAATTATAGGCATGTCAGCTTGACATTGATCCCAGCACAACAGGAGAACAACTAATATGGATCTTGATTAATTAAGAATTAAAGGAGGATAATGTAGTTATTGTCAATCAACACGGTTTTATAGAAAATAAATCTTGTCTAACTTGATATAAGTTTCTTTGATGAGATACAAGTTTGGTTGATAAATGTAATGTTGATATAACAGAGTTCTTTAAGGCATTTGACTTATCACATAACATTTTTATTTAAAATCATATAAATCAACATACTACAGATTAAATTGATTTTAAGCTGACTAAATAATACCTCTCCAAATAAATCTGCAGCTAGGGAATCATCCTTCAACATCCAATATTTCCAGTGGGCTCTCACAGGAATTAGGTCTATACTACTTTGTTTGATCTAGAAGGATAAAAGCCATAGACTCATTACTGATTAAAGTGTTCACATGACACACAATGAAGGATTTGGTAAACAATGAAGAGGACAGGTGACTTACAGAGTGATCATGTTTGGTTGGTGAAGTGAGTTTTATTTTGGGAAGCAGTGACTCTGAAAAAGTCTTGGAGTGTATTCAGTTAGTATCCCAAAGGATAGTTCCTAGAGCAGGGTCAGGTAATTATTTTGGATAGAGGGCTGCTTACTAAGTTTTGGCAAGCCATCGAGGGCTGCAAGGGTAGCCTCGCCCCTTCACAGGTGCCCTGCCCTGCGGTCACCATCTTGGGACCAAAAGTCTCACCCCCTAACTCTTGACCTTTGCCAGCAGAAGTCCCCCCCCTTGACCCCGAGAAATCCTCCTTTCAGCAACAGGCTTTGCCATCTCGGAACCAGAAAAGTACCGAATTATATTCTAAAAATCAAACACTGAAATATTCATTCATTTCATTTTAAAAAATATTTTTGTCCTGATTTACATGTGTTTGTAAAGAGTATGTAGAGGTGGTACTATAATAGCTTAAAAGGAAGTCTTACTCTTGTATATTGGTGGGGGGTATGGGTGGGTGGGCATAGGTTTGTAGGTGTGTGGTTATGTGGGGTGTGGGACAGGGTGTATGTGTGGGGTGGAGGTGGATAGGCATGGTGGTCTCGGGGGTGTATTCATGGCAGGGGAGCATATGGGTATGGAGTTTTTGGGGGCTGTGAGTGCGTGGGGGGAGGGTGGCTGGGGAGGGCTGTGGTATGTGTGGAGTGGGAGGCCCACTCCCCATGGCAGGCAGAGCCCCTGCCAGTGCTCCTCCAAGCCCAGGCTATGCGCTCCTGCCGCTCCTGGACCTGGAGCACTAGTGTGGGCCCCATGCTCCCACTTGCCTCCACTTTTCTCTCCTCTCTGCTGTTCTCATGCCAGTTCCCTGCCCACCACCCCTCTCTGCTCAGGCGCCACGTCCCAGCTGCACAGCCAAGACTGCAGGATACAGCAGGAGCTGAACTGGCCCAGCCGGCACTGTACAGAGCCAGCCAAGAATCCTGGGGGCCAGGCCAACTCCTGTTGAGTCTTGCGGCCCGGTGCTGCAGCCAGGAACCACATGGTGGTTATTCTGCCTCAATTGCAGGGCTTTGCACTTGTCTTTGCAATAATGCAAACTTTGTGACAAATATTGACTCAGAGGCCTCATCTGCATGTTCATTAATGTGCCATAGTTATGGCACATTACGTTTAATATTTGGATAACCAAGTACTAAATCAATGTGCAATAACTGGCGCTACTGCGCAGTAGCACTGGCACATGGCTTTTTAATGACACTAACTGTACAATAGGCTAATACTACTGCACAGTAATGTATTAGCACAGGCTTTGCCTTGCATGCTGCTGCATGGTACAAGTAGGCTACTGCACAGTTAGCATCTCATGTAGACTCACTCAGATTGCACCTTCACATCAACACAAGATGCACTTCTCAAAAAGAAAAGAACCTTAAATTAGGAATTAGTTTTTTTCAGAATTAGAAAATGAACTGGCACCAAGGTATCTAAGAAAAAGTGTTATTTAAGAATAGCAAATTTGTTCTGTGAATTATTTAAAAGATAATAAATATGCTACTTCATTGTCTTAATTTAAAGAAAATGATCTGCTGTATATATGTCTGCTGATAGTTATCACTGATTTTTAATCTGTTCTCCCTTATAGGAGGCTTACTCATTTTAATACTTAGATAATACATAAAGTTTTGTATTTTTTTGGTTTTTTGGAGTTACTTTGGATGCATCACAGTTATATCATGCACCATATTTAATGATGCTGCATATTGTTTGGGTTTTGCCTGATGCTTGAAAAAATCTTAGAGACATGATGTTTACATATTAAGACAGGGGGAACAAGAAACTTGAAGACAGAATACTTCCTCCCTCTCCTTTTCCTCTTCCTCAGATATAAGTAAACTATTCCTTGCAACACAAACTTAAAGTAGATTTAAAAAAATGTAAAAAAAAATCTAATCATATAAACATAAAAAAATTAGTACAAAGCAGTCCTATGATCTGTACTATGTAATTGTTCAGACTAGATGATCACAGTGGTTTCTTTTGGCCTTAAAATATATGCATCTATGCTATATGTATCTTATAAATAAGTCAGTCTTACATGAACACCCATCTACACACACATGATGAACACATACATGCTAGTGATGCAGTTTCTAGGTTTTAAGGAGTTATTTGTCACGTAAAAAAATGTTGGCAATCTAGTTGTCTCCTTTTGAAATGATAATGACCTTGCTCCAGCTGTCTCTGGAGGAATGACCCATGAGAAAAAATTTTGCTGCTTTCTTGATGGGTCTCAGTGTTTCACACATTTGTTTTGATTGGACAACCGCAGTATTAGGCCACTTGATTTAGCTAGCAACAAGTGCTCTGGAAATAACTGGTATAAGTGTCCTTGCTGCAGCTTTTTTGCATTACTCTTTACATTTGTTTTTCAGCAAATGAAAAGATTGAAGACATCAATGGCTGTCCAAAGAATAGATCTCAAATGGTAAGTAGTATTCATGGGTGTTTTGCTAAATCCTTTACAAAATGTGACTATTAATTTCATTGTGATTGTTGCAATGCTTGCGCCAATATGTTGGAAAGGCAGATCTATAACTTGTAGTGCAATATTTATGATTTATGTCTGATTCTGCTTAAGTCAACACATAATGGATTGGGTTTGAATGTATTAGGACATATTTAGAAGGTTTATTATTTTTCATTTGTAATAATATTTTGGGATACTTTATGTTTAAACAAGAATAAACAGAAGTAAAACACAGTGCTTTTAATTTAGAATATGCTGCTTCCAGAAGCAGGGAAATAGAAGTGCATCTGATTCTTTGTCAGAGCTGTTAGAAGTACAGCGGGGAATTTGAAAGCTAAGAAAAAGAATGAAGATTCCTTCTGTCCTTCCCAAAAGACTCCGGGAAATACCTTTCATATTTTCATATAATAAATGTTGACAAAGCAAGGAGGAATTTGCAAATTAGCAGTTGTATGAAATTCTTAAAACACTCATTGTCTCTTGATTTGCTGATGGGTTTTACTATGTAAAAAGTTATTTCTTATCTCGTTTATACTTAATGTGTACAACCACAGCACCAAAAGAGGCTGCATTACAACTGAAAGCATATAGTATAGGAAGAATATGTTTACTGTCAGAGATAGTGAAGCTAAGACTATAGGCAGAAAATATTTGAATTTGTCAGCAGTAATAGATCTATATTAAGAAGAACTTTTTAAAATCACAGTCATTAAATAAAAATCTTTGTCCGTTCATATTTTATGCAGAATCTGTTATGACATTTAATTTAAAAATATGTATGAATTTTTCCCAGACATTAAATTTAGATTACCTTGGGACAGTGTGGTTTTAGTACATATGTGTTCTTTCCCGTGTTTTCAGCTTGTTTACACCGACTAATGTAAACAATAGAAGAATTAAGGATTTGACAAGGTTTCCATCACAGAATCTGAAATCATTCTGTTTGGCCAATCTGTTTGAGGTTTTTCTCACTGAGTTTCTGTGCTCTTTAGAACTATGGAACAACCACTCCTTGAAATGAAAAACATCTATACAGATTTATTGTGGCTACTTTTACTTCTCAGTAGAGACTGGCTGCTATTTTAGCCATAGCCGTAACAGCTGCCTAGAGTATAAATAATTGAGGAAAATGTGAAGATCATTGTAATTGAATGTTCCACAAGTATAGTGCAAGAACCTATGTTATTCATGACCAAAGTTTATAATAAATTCCACTATGTTGTAATTGAAGGTTGGACAAATTAATACAGAAATCTCTAAGAATCAACAACCCTTTTCAAGCTTTTATAACTAGAATCCACAATGCAGGTTGTTGCAGAAGCCAGTTTTTGGCATAACAGCTGTCAAAATGTATGCTGTACCAGAAACTGTGAAACAAGTTAAAAAGGCCTGCTCTTGGCTTCTGCTCCATTGGTGTGTGTAGAAGTGTGTAATGGCAAAGGGCTGTGAAATTCTGGGGCTTTATGTTCCTTATCATTGGAAGCACAAGGAGCATGACTATTTGTCCATGACTGAAATGTGCATGTTCAGAGCTATCCATGGCATTGCACTAAAAGTGCAACTTCTATGTGAAGGGGACTTCAGATGTTACAACCTGTCCCATATTCTTCAGTGTAGTGAACATTGCACTCCTTTATTAGACCACCTAGATAGTAGCAAAAAAATTCTTTCTTTTCAAGCTTTCAGGTACATACACCCTTTTTCAGGCTGAGGAGAATTCAAAGATTGTAAAAGGTCTCCTGTGTAGAAAAAAAACTTAATTTTGCTCCCTGGTTGGTTGGGATGCAGGGTGCCTCAAGACTAGAGTAGGCAGTCCTGGGCAGCACCCCCATCTACACATGCCTCAGTGTGCGGGTTTGACTCTGAAACCCCAGCACTGCAGCGTGTGGATTCCCCTGCGGGGGGTGGATGAGCTGGGGCCTCCAAGCTCTGCTACCAGAAACTGCCTCAGCGACTGTCTGGCCTGGCAGGCTGATGGGCCACTCTTTCCTCTTAATTTTGAGCATGACTGCACCCCTTTATGACTGGGGTTATCCAGACTGGCCTGGAACTGCTTTGGGGGACAGGTGTAACTGGGGCCTTCCCGGTGCTGATTAGGAATTGGCCCGCCCTCCTATTTCTGGGCTAACAGCCTGCCTCTCTCTCCTGCCACACCTTGATGGAAAATGATTAAGATATTACCCAGGCAGGAGGCTGCTCATTTTCTGCCCCAATTTCAGGGAGTACTATCTGCGGCTCTGAACCTCCGCTACACTGCAGCCCATACCTTGCAGATGGCACCTCTGTTCTTAATGTCTCTGGCCCCATACTAGGCCCCATAACACTCTAGTCTGGACCCCAACTAGATCCGTTCCCATCAGGCAGCCTACTCTGCTCTCATTCTGGGCTGCTTAGCTCCCTGCACTCTCAGGTGTGCCCCCCCTCCCCAGGACTTTTGGCCACACAGCCTTTACCTGCAAGGCTGGTCGGAACCCCAGGCCCCTGGCTCTGGGCATCCCTTGTGGTGGACCCTGGCCCTTTTGACCCTTCTGATCCTGGCCCCAGCATTGACCAGTCAAGGGTGTTCAGCTGCCTGTCCTGGACCCACCATGCTATCTACCATGAGCTTGCCTTCTGCACACCAGTGGAGAGCCTGCAGAAAAGGGGGAGGAGATGCTTAGCTTGCAGGTGTAGGGCAGGGGCAGGTCCAGTGCCACCATGGGCCCATTATTGCAGGAGTGGAGCTGGGGGTTGCCCTGACGGGTTGATACAGTGAGTACCTGCACTAGGAGAATCAGATTCAGCCAGCTCCCATTGGACTTCACCCATGGATCAGATCAGGGGGGAGAGGTAGATGTGCAGTTGGACTGCTTGCCAGCCTGTCCAGGTGAGGAACCCAAAAATTGGCCTGGCAGCAGCAGCTTGAGCGGGTTAGATAACAGTTCCCACATGGGAATCCTTTCATCACATGTGTTCTTTTCTTGGACTGGGCAGGAGGGGTAGAGGGAGGTGGGGGCTGGAGTTTGGCAAGGGGACATTTTTTCCTCGTTCCTTCAGTGTTTGTCAGGCATAGCTGCATCGTATCTACTGTCCATGACCTGGGGGTGCTTTCTGCCAAAACTGCTGTTTACCTTTTTGCCTGATGAGCTCAATAAATGCTATCAATGCGTTTCTGTGAGTGCTGTGTGAGGAGGGGCGGGTATTTATGTCCAAGTGCTTGAAGTATCTGTGCTTAGGCTCCAATCTGCCATGAAGCACAACATAGCCCTGAGAGAAAAGGATATGTTAATTAGACAGATTTATGATCCCATTAAGTGGGACATGCACACTCAAGAGCAGGGGTGGAGGAGAGGAACTGGCACTTCGACTGGACTCCAGGATTCAGGGTTGGGGTGGGGAGAAAGCAGGAGATTCACCCTCCCCCTACACCCCAGCATTCCTGCTCCCCCACCCAGCCACAACCCCATTGTGGTTTCTTGGCTATAATGGCCTGAGAGAAGGTTATGACCACAGGGGTTGGTCTGTGGCAGCCTTGGCTCCCCCTGCTATCCCTTCCTCACCCCAGAACCCAAGGACTCTGTAGACCTGAATCCCCATCATGGTCGTGTGGAGCTGGGGCAAACCTTACCATCATGGATTACACAGCAACCTCATCTGTGGCCTGACTTATCAGGAAAAGTGTTGGGAGGAGCAGCTGCAGGTCCTGCAAGGTGTGGCTGCGGGTTCTGCAGGAGTCACTGCAGGTTCTACCTCTGTGCTGGTACCAGGAGGCCTGGTACACACCTGATGCCTGTGGGAAGGATGCAGAGACGTGTGATAGAACTTGCTCCAAAAGAGCCACGGCCTCTGTGTGCGGAATGGTGTTATTTTGTTATTTTTTCCCCCACAAAAGCCATTGGATGGAGTAAGAAAGTAGAGTGCTATTATAGAATTTGGAACAGGCTTCCAAGGGAGGTGGTGCTCTCCCCTACCTTGGGGGTCTTTAAGAGAAGGCTGGATAGGCATCTGGCTGGGACCATCTGACCCCAGCACTCTTTCCTGCCCAGGGCAGGGGGTGAGACTCAATGATCTGTTGAGGTCCCTTCCGACCCTAGCATCTATGAATCTATGAATCTTTAATATTTCAGACAATATTTAGCTTCCTAATTTACACTTGCACACATAACAGGTTATTCTTATTTTCTTTACAGGTGTATAGAGCTCAGCAGTTCCACCTGATGAGCTTTATTCACTTCTGAAATTGTTGTCTTCCTTCCCCCTTCACCCAAACTGTAGAATTTTTTAATGCTTGTAACTGCTCTTAATGATTACCCAGCTGGGGATGGGATTTTCCCCAGCTCTGGCAATTTCTCTAATTCATTCCTAGGAGACAAAACAAGGGCAGGCCAAAGTTGTGCTTTACAGACTAAACAATACAGTACAAAGACACAAAAACCCAATCCTGGTCCACTTGAAATGAAGGGAAAATTACTCCAATTTCAGATGTAACTATTACTATATTTCAACAACTTGTATGCAACTGAAGGACTATGTGATCAACTTACTCCCTCCCCCCCAAGTTGCCTGCATTATCTATTGGACTACTTCAGAAAAACACACAATGGGAGTGTAACTGCCCTGAGTACAAACAAACAATGCCTTTGAAAATCTTGGAAGAATTTTTTTGTACACAATGTGTTGTCCAGGCACTGTAGGTCATGGCCCCACTGCATGTCCTGCAGACACACAAGACCTCCTACCAGCTGTTAATGTAGGCTGCCAACTAATTAGGCAATTAAAATGCACTAATGGAATATTGACACAGTACCAAATACCTGGTGAACCTGTCATCCGTTCTGGGGCATGAGCTGGCAAATGGGACACCTGACTGCCTCCACTCACTAGGGCTTCAAGAGAGTGGCACTGTTTCTTGGCTTCCTAAATTCTGTACAGATTTTAGGGAATCTACAGGGTTCAGAAGGGAAAATAAAATCACTGCT